CGCCTCATTCAATCTATGGTCATGGCACTACTATGTAGTATTAGAAGAAATAAATAGAGTCATGATTTTTGCTTTCTACTGCGTTTGATTCCCTGATTGGTCAAGCATCTTGCAGACGTTGTGTCAGTAAATTAATCACAATCGGAATTTCTCTTCCTTCTCTTTCTAGTGTAACATCAAAATGACAAAATCTCGGCCAATCAAGGTTAGAAGAATTAATTAACGTATCTAATTGTAAGTAGCAAGATCAAACACGTCTTTATATATCGAATGTATGTATTAATAACATTATATATATAGATATATATGTAAAAATATAAACAGGCAACAAGCGATTAATTTGAAAAGACCATCAACGATTTGTAACGGAGGATATGTATATCTTCTTTTTTCTTTTTTCTTCTTAATTATTTATTATTTGGATGCAAAGAATAGGTGTTATAGGGATGTGTCGGGGATGTTGGAAGTTTGGGAGTTCTGGAATTACCCAGATGGAACTGGCAAGTCGAGAGATAAAGAGAGAAAGAAATAGATAAAGAGAAAGAGAGCTGAAGGTGTGATTCGGTTCTGTACGTCATCTGTAATAACAGAGTTATCGGAAATATTTCAGCGTGACTTGTGTGTACATCTATTCATCGATAGTATATGTAGCTTTCGCCGTCGACTTTTCACGGCACGATTGCGATCGACAAAAAGGTACAAAAAGAGCTGCCGAAGAAGTTGAAAAAGAAAATTAGTAAGAACAACAGAACGATAGAAAAAAAAAAAAGGTAATTTTTACGGTATGCAGAGACTATTTGTTCTTGCAAGCGACATGTATGCAACTACGGATATGTTTTATAATAATCATTGTCGTTCAAAGAAGAGAGAAACAAAAAATGTGGCACAGTTTTAGCATTACTTGGCACAAGTTCGTTCGACTAGAAGAGCAAAGATGCACAACATTATGATGAAAATAAGATACGTGATACGAGAGAAAAAAAAAATAGGCTGGAGACTGTAATCGTAGAAACAAAGCAACATACAAGAATACTAAAAAAAAAAAGGTAAGACACAAAAAGCACACAAACTTTCGATACTTGACATTATCTCTTTTACTGGTTTATTTTTTTGTTCTCCGTTGATATATATTGGTCGTAGAGAAAACTTAAAAAAAAAAAGATACAATAAACAGTCTGTGCATTGTTTTTTTCAATTTCAATTATATTTCTTTTATTGAATTCATCGTCAATAAATTTCATTGCTGACCCGAACTTTTAGTGCAAGTCATCGAGTGTTACATCACAAATAGGTGTATCGTTTATGATATATTAATTATCATCATTATCGTACGTGTTACCAAATATTATAATAATTATAATCATTACCGTTAGAGACCAATTGTTATTAGCTGTTAAATCGATAATAGTTCCGAATTCTATTTGCAATAGTTTAATTAACGACATTACATTGTATAATAATTTGATATATTTTTTTTCTGTACTCTTTTTTTCCTTTTTTGTTCGTACTTAATCGTAAAGTCCTAACATTATTATTTTAGACGAGGGGAGAGAGAGAGAGAGAGAGAAAGAGAGGACAATACAGAAATCTAAAACGTGTCTACGTAGATAAGGAACAATTTCGGAGGGTACAAGGAATTTTTAAATTATAATTTATAAAAGAAAATATTAATTTCATCATATTCAGTAAAAAACCTCGACTATGTACGCGAAACGAAAGGGTACATATTTAAGTCCCAGGCTGGAAAATTCATTAGGAACTCGATAAAATATTTAATCACTTCGATCGACGAACCACGAAACGAACAATTGAAACTCAACGAATTTAGGTATCCTTCGTCCTTAGCTCTCGTTTTTCTCGATACGAAATACAGTTGATTCGAGTTAATTTGTTAACCTACCTACTATGTACACGTGTTAACTATGTACGTATGCACGGTTGAATAGTCGAGTGCAAACCTATCTCTGTATACGTACACAAGTGTAGATATAGATTCTTTAAAACGCTGCTTAAAAGTGTGCCTCGTGTAAATGTGCAATGACCGAATGATAATTCTCGAACGAGAACGTAAGAACAAGCATTTTCTCGTTACCCTTAAAGCTTTCAATTATTCGCTCCATAAAAAGGTGGAGTTTCACGAAACAAAAGAACGGCCAATTATTTGCAGCGTTTAATTGTTCGAGCAGTCATAATTTTTCATTATAGATAGTCCTCTCGTTCGAATTTGTCGATACTATGTATGAAACACGTTGCAATTGGGAGCAATAAATCACTTAGCTTCGCTTTCAGAGGACGCTGTTCTCCTCGCGTAAGTTTCGTTCCACTCTCGCGACATCGTTCTCTCGATTAATTTTCTCTTTATTAAGCATTGTCTTCGTTCTTCCCGTACCTCGTCGGTAATAGATACTGTATAGTCACCAGGAAGCTTTAATAGATTCGCCTCGTCGACAGATTACTGTATCAAATATCTAAGTGCGAAGCATCCCGTACATTTCTATTTATAACTAGAGATCAAATCCAGTCAGACACTTTCAATTCATAACAAACGGAAATATTTGTTGAATTTATGTACAGATGATAAATTATAGTAAGATGTATTTCCACTCGGGGCACTTCGTCCTACATAAAACCCAGAGGAACGAAAGAACATCGAAAATTCCTGTAGCTGTCCAATCGCGTGATCGTAGTTCTCGTTATCGATCGTCTACACGGAAAACGTATTAAATTCGCTCTCTACAAAAAGCCGTTTCTTGTTCCAAAAAAGAGAAACGGAAAGGGAAGCTACGTTTCGCAAGCGATTCGCGAGTTTTGCGCGTCGATCCGTGACCACTATTCTCGCCCGCTTCTCTACCTACCCCCCCCCCCCCCCCCTCGACTTTATTCATTTTCGCTACGGAAACTGCCGCGCGAAACTTGTTAATTCCGCGAAAGCCGCAGGGCGAAAGAAACGATACAGGCTCCGGGGAAATCTGTAAACTCGAATATTATAAAACTTACGCCCGACAGACGAACCAACTTTCGTTCAAAACTCGGCCGCGTGCGTGTGCGTACACGCTCAAGAAATGTTATGCTCGGGATAGAATGTTCTTTGCGTTGAGCAGCCAGCCAGTTCTTAGATTTTAATTAAATCCGCGTGTTTGAGAAACGGGAAAAGGTGAGAATTTCAAGTGCCACGCTTGATTCGGATAGATTAATCTTTAATTAGAGAACAGTACCAGTCGTTGCGAGGATACGAATATTCTAGTTCTTAATTTATCACGTAATTCCCTATCTTTACAAATAATGAAACCTTATTGTATATAAATTTTCTTCTGCTTCATTTTCATATATTATTTATATATATAAAAGATTTTAATTTAATAAAATAATTATCAGAGGTCATTGCACATCTCATGTTAGTATCTTACTAATAATCATAATCACAATCACGATTTTATTCTTCTCACAGAATACGTGTCTCGAATGAACCTTACTCAACGTACAATCTCTACACACAAAGAAAAGAAAATAGAGAAAAGAATTAGTCGGTTCTCACGAACGTTGTCTCGGACTTTGTCATTGTGCGACGCAATCCCTTAATTAAAGTTCTCGTACACCATATACGCGTAGTGCTAACGATAACCGTAAGTGATTATTAAATAAGAGTACATAGAAATCGTAGATGCCACGCGTTCGTCGTCGAATGGCCTATAGATTCTCACTCGGGAGAGCCGTTCTTTACTGTGAACGTGGCTCGCCGTTTCGTTTCCGTTTCGTCATTAATGAGCTTCGTTCCGCCCCAGTTCGCTCGGTCACAAGCGATCCGTGAAATCATCGACACGCTGCACTCCCGCACGGATCATCTGCTGCGATATCGTTAAGCATTCGAGAACTCGAAACTGATTGTACGGAATCGGAAAATATGTTACATCGCTTGTCCATCCAGAACGAACGGGGAACGAAGCTTCGATGCTTTGCGATTTACTTGTTCCATTTCATTTC